CTCACTGATTTAGAAATGTGCTATCATTTTGTATATTTATAAATTAGTAGAGAAAAAAAAAAATTATTTATTAATTAATCGTGCCCTTCTCGAATTCAATTAATAGGTATCAATTTAATCCTCATCTTGTTAACGAACAAGTTATAAACAATATACTTGTAAAATCTCTTACTGCCATACCAAATCCCGATTTTAATTTATGTCTGTATTTATTACATGAGAATGCAGTATCCTTTTTATTTTCGTATCGCGCATATCGAGTCTTTATATAAGATCACATTATTGTTTATTATAAACTTTACATATAATTGTCTATTTTGAATTAGCTTGCTGATGAGAGCGTGGCTAAGTTAGTTGAATTACAACAATTATTGGAACAATGCAAGTATCAAGAATTTTGGAAATTGTATGAATCAGATGATTCATATAAAGAACTTACAAGTGATGCAATAGGGTTTGAAGATGCAATACGAAAAGGTAAATAAAAATTTACATTTTGACTGGTTAACAACATTCAAAATATCTCTAAAAAACAACAAATTCTTCAGTTATCTTAACATCAATTTCTATGACATATCAAAGTATTTCGGCAGAGTTATTAAGCAATTATCTCAATTTAAGCATAAGTGAGTTTTTGTACTTGTCATTATTAAAAAGAAGGGAAATTTTCTTATCTTTTCTATTCTGTTGCAAATAATAATTGAATAATTAGATGATGAAGAATTTGATTCATTTATTCAAACTCGTAGCCTTGTTAATAAAGATGGTATTGTATTAGTACCTACAAATTACGATAATGAAGCGAAACCAACTGTGATTAGAGAAAATATTAAATTTGAACGTAAGTTTGTCATTTCCTGTAACGAATATTTGGTATTCAAAATATAGGTGATTGTGTTAACATTTAAATTTAAAATATTTATTTTTCCACAAATCACAGAACTCACAAAAGTCATTGGTTATTCCAATGAATTGTAATAATTAATCCTAATTTTTGTATTATTGTATTTCTCATTTTATATTGTAACTTTAAAAATGGATAATAATAAAGCTATACGTATTCCTGTATTCGTGTAATCGGCAAGTTTTACACAATTTAGTATTAGAAACTATATGAATGAGACACGGCATCATTAAATTTGCATATAAAGTTTGTGAACAGCTTCAGATTTTAACCTCATAAGTTTTTTTTCCTTATTTTTAAGTTATTGCCCAGCCCTATATTATTGCGTATAATTGTCATGTGAAATTTTTCATGGGATTATATTATCAAAATTTTTTTATGTATAACGATAATTTACACAACTTCATATAACGATGTCAATAAATTTACAACTAATAATTATAAAAATGATTTAATTATCTACTTTTGTTGTGCAATTGTGCAATTTTAAATACTATAATACAAGAGTCCTTTTTTTAAAAAAAGGAATGTACAAGATTCTATTATCAAATTATCCGTAAACCTCAATCTCAGAAAAGGAAAAAAAAAAATAAAAAATACTAATGTATATTAAAAAAAAATTGAATACCCATCCATAGTTTTTTGTCATTTCGTGATACCAATGAACTAATCCTAATAAAAAAGATAATATATATGGTATTCAAAGTTAAAAAAAAATTCTAGAATTAATAATGGCTTTAATTGCCAACATTAGACATTGAGGTTCCTTTCCTCATTTTCCTCATCATTTTCACCCGTTTCACGATTTATATCATTATTACTCTGAACAGGTGAAGTAGAAGTACTTTCATCATCACCATGCCTTCTAACACTTGAAAATCTTCGTGGTACATTTTCCGAATTACTTAATGCAGCAATTCTATTATTTCTAACAGGACTTTCACTTCTATCAGATGATAACGGTGAAGAAGTAGGTATTAATCCACTGTCATCTCTTCTAGCGATTTCTGGAGTTACAGCCGTACCACCACCATCACCACCACCACCACCTGTACCACTACTATCACTATTCCTAATTACACCACTATGTTCACTTGATTCTAATGTTTGTTGTTCAGTAGTTTCATCACCACCATTATTACCATATTGACCAGATTGACCAGATTGATCAGTTATTGCAGTACCATACTTTGTATTTCCTGTAGAACTTACACAAACCGTTGGAAAAGCACCTTCTTTTCCAGTATTTCTATTTATACCTACAGCCCATCCATCATCAAATTTGTGAGTAATTTCTATAACATCATTAGGAGAAATATTTAATTCATCAGGTAAATTAGCTTCATAAGGAAATACTACAGTTACAATTTCAGGTTCAATAGTAACAGTAGATTCATTATTACTAGGTAAAATAAGAGAAGTTCTTTCAGGTATAGGTCTTGGACCAGAATCATTATTTGAAGAAATTTGTTGTTGTCTACCACCAGTATCAGTAACATTATTATCAATATTAGTTGGAGAAACCAAATCAGAATATCTAACACTTTCAGGATAATAACCACGACCACTTGATGGTTTAGAATAGAAAGGAGAGGAAGAATACATTGAAACACCTTTAGTTCCAGTTTCACCACCTGAATCAGGACCACCAGCTGCACCAGGTTTACGACGTAATTTGCTTCTTCTTATAAAACAACAAAATACTACACTAAATAATAAGAAAGAACCAAATATTGAAGCAAATATTGCTATTAACATTGTTTGAGTAACATTTGATTGATTATTATTTGAATCGGATGATGAACTTGGAGAAGTTGATGGAATAATTGCTATAGGAGAAGTTGCATTTGTGAAATTACATTGTGAAAAGAGGGATGATTGAAGACAACAACTATCTCTGGTTTGACAATATTGACAGAATGCGTTAACATCTTGACCGTAACCTATTTAAATATATATATAAAAAAAAAAAAAAGAGATTAATATTAAAAAAGTAAAGGGATTTTTTTAATTAAAATATTTCTCTAAAATATTTTATATAATTAATCATCAAAACCTAACATATTAACCTTATAACTAACTATAATACATTTGAATTATACATTTGAATTATTGAATTTTAAAACTTAATCTAACAATAATTCATTATTAAAGTTTCATATATTTAAATATATTAAATATATTAATTAAATAGATTATGATTATTTTACTGATACAGTATGATGATATCAGTTAAATTATCATCATAATACGCTTTTTTTAATCCTCTCTTCATTTCATATAAATAATCCTAATAATTTCACGTATAATAAACGTGAAATTTTTTTTAAGAGAAAAAAAAAAAAGATATATAGATATATATGTATACATACCACAATTCGGTTCATTTAAATCACCAGAAATACAAGTGTTATTATTAGAATCGACATTAGAATCATTAGAACACCATTTTATTAAATTTACCAAGGATTGAAGAGCCGGATTATTAGGAGGAGAACAAACATTTGGACTATAAGCTATAGTTAAAATTGAAGATACATGAGAAGTACAAGTAGAATTACAAATATTTCTAACTTGAAGACCACTTGTTGCACTACATTGTTTTGATAAAGGATATTCTACTAATTCAGAACAAATCATTGTATAGGTATACCTAGCATACATTGATGTAGATGTAAAATTTGAACAATTTAAAGTTTGTTTATACCTCCACTGAGCATATCCATTATTTACATAAGATTCTAAAAGAGAATCAAATTGAGAAATATTTGAAGCATTTGATAACCAAGAAAATGATTGACCAGTTATATCAGAAGCAGTTATAATTTGAGAAGATATTGAATAATCTGCAAAAGCAGGACAATGAGTGGAACGACTTAAAGAAAGACAAGAAGGCATCGTTACACCTTGAGCGAAAGTTTGTGGTAATAATAAAGATAGTGTTGATAGAAAAGTGAATACAGTTAACATCGAAATGGAAACAAGAGAATGTGAGGATGAAAAGGAAAAATAATAGGATGATGGAGAGAATGAAATTAGAAGGAAATATGGTATTATTAACGTCCTTATTTTCGTGAAAAAACTCATTTGTGTGAAATGAAATAGGAAACGCGTGTATGATTGAATTAATATTATGAATATTATGGATTGACACCAAAATATACTTAAAGTAGATTCTTTACAAATTATAGGTAATAGTCGCGATCGTTCAATTAATAATGAGAAAAAAAAAAAAAAAAAGATTATGATTGAACGAGTTGAACGAGGATTAATAACGTAAAAACTATAAAAGATGTGAAAAAGAAAAAATATACGCCACAACCAAAAATCAAATTATATACCCAAAGAAAAAAAAGTAAAGCAACAAAAGTATGAAATAATTTTTGAGTAAAAAAAAAAAATAATAATAAGTCTTGAAAAATAAAAAGTAAAAGGAGTAAGAAAATGCAATAAAAGTAATTTTAAAGTATTCAGGTGGAGTTTAGAGCACGTCAATCAATATTGCTGATACAAATGTTTTTTTACCATAATAGGAATAACACTTTTTTTCATTATTACATTAAAAATCAAAAGGAGACCAAACGAGAGCATAAAAATAAAATATTAAAATGCTCAAGGCTGATGAGGGTTATTTGCCTAACAGGACAAGAAAAAAAAAAATACGGAGACTTAGTTAATAAAAGAAAACGGGGGGCAAAAGCAGAAAAAGAGGTATCAGAATAAGTAAATGGAAATAAAAAAAAAGCAACGGCAAAAGTTTTTTTTTTTTTTTTTCAATTCATTCATATCAGCATATATAATCATATATAATCATCAGTTTACTGTAAAATAAAGTATTACACGCATAAAAAACCTGTATATGTCTAAAATAACAAATACAAAAAAAATACAAATGTGACCAAATAAATGTATCCTATGTGTTACAGAAGATTTAAATGATCGATACAAATGCATAAAAAATACATAAGTCATCATAAATCATTATTTAAAATGGGTAGAATGGAAATGGTAATTACCAAGATTCTAGAACATTTATGTGGTTTGTGTGATGTTAAGATTAAGATCTAAAGTTTAAATAGCTCGAGTGGCCGTGTGATCGGGCTTTGTCACATACAGTAATAAAATTCTTCTTAACTATTATATACTGTATTATATAATCTATTTATCATGTTATTTATCATGTTATTTATCATGTTATTTAAAAACCAATCGAAAAGCCTTTACCTCGCGGTAATTTATGACGATCTACATTATCTTCTGCACCAGTAACAATAAGATAGATTTTTATAAACAAATTCCGTATTACCAAAAATCATAAATATTTGTCGAATCAAAAAACTTTCCAATCAAATGATTATCCTCTTCAAATAGTAACACACTATATAACTTGTTATTTTTCAAGGTTTAACCACATACCTCAAGGCTTTGAAATAGGTTGTAAGGGCTTGGATTGCAATTCGATCAGAGCCCCGGAAATTTATTAATATACAGTATTACAGTACTGTATTACAATATTATTGTCGTCATTATTGTCGTTATCGTTATTTCAAACCCTTAATTTCTGGGGATTTCTGGGGACATTTATGTTTATACTATATAACGGTTAATTTCTATTTCTAGGAATCCGGGAGGCAAAGTTATAGTGGCTTCTTCATTTAAGGCTTGATTATTCTTGATATTTATTCTGCTATGCACGTATGTACGCACGTACGTACGTTCTGTCGATTCATGTGACCTTAATTTTAATACCAATTTTCTAATATGCTTCTTTATATATTCTATCATTATTCAGGGCCAAACTGCTTGATCGGAATAACTCGTTCAATTTTTCTATAGTCTCAACTAAATGAGTAACAAGTAAATTTATTCGAATTACTTGCTTTTTTTGTCCGCAGAAACAATCTTGAAGTTTCTTTTTTTTTTTACTATCAATTGTGTTCATGATAATCATATGAATTGTTTATACTGTATACAATAACCTTACCTTGCATTCCTTATATTCTTATTTTGCATTATGATTAAACATTATTATTATAGAAAAATTCTATAGATTTACTTATTGGGATTCACATTAAATCATACTGTATGTGCCCCACATTTGGCACATGGTGTCCAAAATCACGTATACACTATATATAGATTATATATATATTTCTTCTTATCTGTTATCAGATATACTTCACATATTTCACGTACGTACGTACGTACGTATTTTACATAACAGATAATTACACAAAGCAGATGTGGCATAATGTAGCCTGTATGTACGTTTAAACTATGATGTAAGGATTTTTATTTCATGATATCGGGGAGTTGCGACCGGTTCAAAGTGGTTGGGTAATACTAAGTTTTGTTTTTTTAGTTTATTAGAAAGTAACACAAATTGTTGATCTTCTAACGTAAATTCATTGAGAAGTTTACGCCAAACATTAACAAAAATGCACAAAACAAATCTGAATTTAGAAATGATTTCACTTTTTTGAGCTTTGACATACGTACATAGGCAAGTACATAAGGATATAGATTATAAACAATGCTTTATCGATATGCATTAAATGTCTCTAGAATATTTAACTTTATATTAAATGCACATTGAATAACTACTCAGTATTAGGTAATATTGAAAACTATATTATTCCTATACAATAATCACCGCCAATTACATTCAAAATAATTAATCATAGTGAATCTTACCCTGCGTTTATGAAACTAAAACCTAGCATTTAATTAGCTTTAAATTAATCGTTAGATATGTACATACGTGCTTGTATATGCTTACATTCCTTATTGCAAAATAAATTCCCTTATCATGATACACTTCTATGAATCTCATTGACACAAAACAATCCCTTTTTTATGCTTTTATTTTACATTAAAACTACAAGTCTCAAATTTCTTCTTTTTTTTTCACTACATATGCCTGCATATTAGTGATTCTTGGCATGTTTTTTTCTTAATCTAACTTTCTTTGTTTAACTTAGATCATACAAACTCGTTAGAGATGATGCTCAATATAGTCAACCTCTTACAGTATCAATACAGCAATATCGATATTATACGTATACTGTATATATTTTTAAAAAAAAAAAATTTTTTCACTCATGCTAGTAAAACCATTAAGTATCACATTATATCACATTACACGTATTATTGTAAGTTTTAAAAGTTTCTATTGTAAGAAATTTAATAAACGCGTATTCGTCTAATTGACAGAAATTTTTGCTAAATGTGATCTAATATAAGGTCATACGTACGTACTCTAATCTAGAAAAGCTTTCCTTTTTATATAAGGAAATGTGGGTTCATTGTATTCAATAAATATACTTGATTTTGTTTCGGAAAATTCTCATATTTTTATCTGTTATGGTTTTTATTCTGAATATCATCTAGATTAAATTTAATTCTAGAATAAATTTAATAAATTTGTAAATTCACTTCAAACCTTAATGTACTCAAATGTGGATTGGTTGTCTTTTAAAGGAATTATTGAAAGAATTCATTTTTTTTAACCTTTACTTTTTTTAATTTGTTTCCTATTACCGTAGTATATATACTTATAAGTAATATGTTGTACTAAAGGGTTTGGTTTAGGTTTAGCAAAGCCCGTATAACACTGTATACTATATACGTCTTTTTAATACGTAGTAAATGTAGGTCGTATAACAGATTTTATACGCCAAATAAGACTCGATTAAGTTCATGAGATTTATTTTGTTATAAAAGAAAAAGAAAAAGAAATCCGTTATTGGATGCACCGATCCAATAACAACGTATCTGACTTTGAATTTATGTGCTTGATAACCTGGGGCCCAGGTTAGCACATTAAATTCAAAACCAGATACTTCTTTTATTTGTCATCCAAAATGATCATCCCAATCCTTCGGATCAGGTATTCTTGCCAAATAAAACTATTATTGGATGCTACACACGAAATGCATATGTGCTAGGATAACTGCAGTTTCTCGAGATTGCTGTCATTACTCGCATAATCTTACAGGTAACCAGTATAACTGGTATATTAATTTCTTTGAAAGGTTTATCATTATTCTCACGTATATAATATATATAAATGTTTCGAATGCTTCATGCCGCGTTTATACTCTATTTCACAAAGCTAAACAGGTATTTTGACAAACTTTTAATGCGTAAATGTTTTGTAATTTTTTAAACCAGCCTTCGCATTTGAAGTAAATATATTAAATACAAATAAATAAGAAATTTTGAAATTTTAAAACTCTATTCGGAATTCAAAAAAATGTTTGGTGTAGCAAATTCTTTTCTGTTCTTTTTAAGATGTCCTCGTGAAAAAGGATGAGCATCTGATAATTGTTTTTGTAATAAGTATGAAGAACTTCTTAGTTCTGAAGTATGTACTGTATTGCAAATGATTAACTAATTGGTTTTTAGACATTGACAACAGAGGATGTAATTCAAATTTTTATATGTTACAAACTTTACATTACAACATGATCTTAACGGTCTATATGTCGTGTGGATGACAAATGAACAATAACCTACTCTAGCCATATGAGATTTTTGTTAATGTTCAAATATATAAAATAAAATAAAATAAAATAAAATAAAATAAAATAAAATATGAAATAATATTTTTACCTTTTTTTAACCATTTCTTTTGTTTTTGACGTTTTTTATTTCTACAAAACCTGTGATATCTTGTTATTGTTTGTACTAGACTTTATCCACTCATTAATAATACAGTATAATTTGATTACTATTTTATTAAAATGCTTTCCGAAGGTCAATTCTTATGTTGTGGCTTGTGTTGAGCATATTCATCATCACGGATAGATTTTATTGATGTATTCAAAGTAGTTTATGGTATATAGGAGAAATTTTTTCGTGTAACTTATTGAAATATCCGTCGTATATAATTGATCAATAGAGATACAAAATAATCAGTTGAAAAAAGGGTTGTTCCTTCAAAAAATTATTTGATTCTTCTAAAATAG